AGGATTTTGTTTACATTGAAGGCTGTGGTCTATGGTCAGTATTTTAAGTCCTTTTTATTTTCAGCAAGTAAGGTTATCATGTGTGTATTACAGTTTGTTAATGAGTCTTCCTCCACAATCCTCATGCCATGTTCTTGATCATATAATCCAACTTCCCAGATTATTTGCTCAGCATACAGATTGAATAAGGATGATGAAAGTATACAACCCTGTCACATACCTTTCCTGATTTAAAACCAGTGTCCTCTTGCTCCTTGTGAATGACTGCCTCTTGGTTTATGTACATGTTCCTCATGAATACAAGCAAGTGTTGTGGAATACCCATTCTTTCTGATGTTATCTACAAATTGTCATAATTCACGCAGTTGAAAGCTTTTGCATAGTCAGTAGAACACAAATAAACATCTTTCTGGTAGTCTTTGCTTTCAGCCAAGACCTATCTGACTTCTGCCATGATATCCCTTGTTCTACATCCTGTTTTGAATATGGCTTGAGTTTCTAGCAGTTCTCTGTTGGTGTACTTTTGCAGCTGTTTTTGAATTATCTTCAGTAAAATTTTAATTTTATTTTTCAATGACCATTGGTTACCTCTCTTTGGAATGGGCACTAGTATAGATTTCTTCCAATCAGCTGGCCAGGTGTAGCTAGCTAGCTGTTTTTCAAATTTCTTGACATAGATGAGTGAGCACTTCTAGTGTTACATCCTGGTGTGGCACTGTGGGTTAATGCGCCAGACTGCAAATGCACCAGCTGCGCCTCGGAAACACTATACAGGATCGCTGTGGGTCAGAATCGACTTGATGGCACTTCAATTTGTTAGAAGATTTTAATTTGTATTCCATCAATTCTTGAAGCCTTGTTTTTTACTAATACCTTCAGTGCACCTTGGATTTCTTCCTTCAGTACCGTCAGTTCAACTTTGATCATATATGACCTCTTGAAATGGCTGAACAGTGACCATTTCTTTTTGGTACAGTGACTTCCTAAAAAATCTTTGGCAGTGTATTCAGAAGTAAGAGAAGGGTAAGGTAAAGGGGTAAAGAAGTAACAGATGGATAAAGAAGATATTTCCCTGCCTTACATTATTTAAATATTTTCAAGTAGTTCTTTTCTCCCTTTTAGTGTTGTAATAAACTTTCTGAAACCTAGATTTTCTTTTTCTTTTTTCTCCCTTTTTTTAAAAAGAAGTCAGCTGAGAAGGGATTGTCTTAGAAAACTAATCTTCAACAGTACCACTCCTGCAAAGATTTGCCACCTTGGAAACCTCGTACAGACACTGTAAGAACCAACTGGACAGCACTTAACAACAAAAATTATAGCTTATTTATGTAACTTTTTATAACAAAAGAAATCTGTAGTAAAGTTAATGTCAATAACAGTAATGTAGTCAAGTCAGATTGTTGTTGTTTTTATTAGCCCACCCACATACTGTACATTTTTAATAGTCAAGTCATGAAATACTGATGTGGATATAGGTTATTTTCTTACTTTAGTTTTTAACGGTTTCTGTTCTTTTCTTCAAACTTCAGTAGTAACATGTGAGATACACTTTCTGTGCTTTCATCCTTTCATCACTTTCAGAAAGCTGCTAAAACTTCCTGAGTATCCTTTCCCACTCTGAAGGGCTTTGAGAAACCTACATTATATTTCACCACTGAAATCTTTACATTTTTTCATGTAGTGGGGTAAAGTGTTAAAATGTGATTTTAAATTCTAAACCGTAATTCTGATTTCTGTAAGTTTATTTATGCGTAGTTGGAATGAATCACTTGGTTACACTTCTCTATGTGATGAGCAAAACCTGCTAAATGGTATTTGAATTTTCATCATCATGTTCCTAGGCAGGCATATAGTTAATGCATGAATATCCCAGGAAATGTAGTTTTTCAGTGAACAATTTCTTGTCAAGTAGTTACCATTTTCTCCTACTGAAAAATTAGTCGTTCCTTAATCTCATATGGATAAAAACCTACACAAATCTATTTAATATTTCCCCATTAATTCTTTTAGTTATTAAAAGCTTTTTTGAGCACCTCTTGTATGCTGGATACTGTACTAAATTAAAAAGACCCCAAACAGAGACTGAAATGAATGGTCACAGAATGGAAGCTAAGGATATTTCCATGGGTTTGACTTTTTATAGTTAGTTATCTGCATGTCTTCCTGCTCCTGATCTCTTGGGCTGTTTTATTAGGACTCTTATTTGTAGGTAAGAGGAGCAAGTTACAACATTTGTTACCATCAAGATAATACTTTCCATTGTAAATTTTGTTCAGGCTCATGCATTAATTAAGCACTTGCTATAAGGTTGTTGTTGTTGTGAAGTGCTGTCAAGTCAGTTCGGACCCATAGCGACCCTGTATAGGGTTTCCAAGGAGCATCTTGTGAGCTTGAACTACTGACCTTGCAGTTCAAATGACTTTGCAGTCTGGCGCATTAACCCACAGAGCCACACCAGGACTTCTGCTATAACATAGGCCCTATGTTTTATTGGAGTCCTGATGTAGCACTGTAGGACAAGTCCTGGACTGCAAGGCCTTTTGAACCCTAAGGTTAGCAGTTCAACCTCACCAGCTGCTCCTCGGAAACTCTATACAAGGTTGCTATGAGTCTGAACTGACTGAACTGCACTCAGCAACAACAACATGCATTATTGGGCAAAGTGGAGTAAAATGAATACCACTGTGCCCGTAGGACTCTCATAATGGAAGAGAGACAGCACCATAGGGCAAGTGCCATATGGGAGTCCTGTGATGGTGCAGAGCTGCAGTTAGTGCTGGCCAGAGCACAGCTTCAAACCTTGGGTCCATCTGACAGGTTTCAGGGGTTTCTGGTCAGTTTACCCAACCCTGACCCTTGTGATAAAAGACTTAATCTCCTAAAGTCAGACACACTGGCCTGATTACTAGCATGTTGTTGTTAAGTGCCATTGAGTCAGTTCTGGCGCACATTAACTTTTTGGGTTTCCGAGGACTGGCTGGTGGGTTTGAACAGCCAACCTTGCAGTTTCAATCCAGTGCTTATCTGTCCTACAGTGTCACACCAATACTCTGATTACTAGGATAGTGGTAGGTAACTGATTATCTCATCTCTTTTGATGACCCCACCCCCGGAGTACCATCATACTCAGCCCAGCTTCTTCCTCTGGGCTTCAGCTGATCCTGTGTGTGTGTGTTTCCACACCAGGTAATTGGGTCAGCATTTTGTACTCAAATGACTGACCCCTCCCTTTTTGGTGTTTGCTTTTAAATGTACTGTGATTAGGTTTTCACCGAAAATTTGAGTCTTGATGATAAATCAGATAAGGAAAATTTTAAATACATTATAAGCAGCTAATGTTTCATTTTCAAAATCCCGTTGTAAACTAGGTAGTCATTTACAAATTATAAAGTGACACAAAAATTGTAAAATGGAAAACAACTTGGCCAAGTGTTCTTTGAGTTGATGTGAACTAAGTAATATCTGATCATTTTCCTTAACCTTTTTATTGCTGTGGCCCCAGTCTTATTCCTCAGATTTTGTTGTTTGTGTACAATTAAGTCTGTGAGAAAAGGATTACAAGTCTACAATCCCTTATGTCCAATTCTCAAATTCTGAAAAACAACATTCTTTTGTAACTTCTTTGCCAGAAAAACCTGGTCTGATCGAAAGTAACCCTATTTATTCTATTTTTGGTTTTCTGCCGTATCAGAACTATTCATATGTTTTGCTGCAGAAATACTAATCTGTTTGATTGCAAGGGCTGCTCTTGTGTTATGTAATTTATGATGTATATATCGTATTACCTCTCTAAATTAAAAAAAACAAATACCTCTAAGTTTAATAGGAATTGTGTATATATGTTTTTATATAACACACCCATTCCCTAATGATTTTAAAAGCACCTTAAGTATTGTGGTAGTTTTTTATTTCGATAAATGAATTTATATAAATAAAACTCAACAAAAAAGCCCTACTTTAGTTTTGTGATAGACCTTTTTTTTTTCCTATATGTGATAATTCTGGTTTGTTTTGTTTTTTTCTTAAAGCTTCTGTGGTAGTGGTTATGTGCCGCGGAGTCGGTTCCAACTCATAGCAACCCTGTACAGGGTTTCCGAGGCTGTAAATCTTTACGGGAAGCAGAAAGCCTCATATTTATCCCTCAAGAACAGCTGGTAGTTTCGAACTGCTGACTTTGCGGTTCACAAACCGATTCATAACCACTACACTACCAGAGCTCCTTGTACTTGAGGTTTAAATATCAATGTGTGACTATTAAGTGTATGTTGTTGTTAAGTGCCGTCAAGTCGGTAGCTGGTAGTTTCGAACTGCTGACCTTGTGGTTCGCAGCCTGATTCGTAACCACTATACTACCAGAGCTCCTTATTAAGTGTATATATCTGTTAAATTTCTTATACCCACACAATGAATATAACCAGTATAAGAATAGGAATAGCCATGATCATAACACAAGTATAAGGGGAAAGAACCTCTGAATTGAGGGATTATATAGATGTTGTAAAATGCTCTTGAGTGAATGAGAGCTCATCGTGAGGGTTTCCAAGGCTTTAATGAAATCTTTGCAGAAGTAGAAAGCCTCATCTTTCTCCCTTGGAGCGGCTGACAGGTACAGTCCAGTTTTTAGCATAGGTGCTCTCATTTAAGATATACATGTATATAAAAAGTGATCAGTAGTAATATAATGCATCTTGTACATTTTAAACTCATTCTTGATTATTCTACATTGTAATGGGATATATGTTCATTTACCAGTGATTTTAAGAAGCAAAGAGTATGATGATGTTTCACAATGATCTATACCCGCTTATCACTTGTCATTCAAGTAAAACCATATAACTCTTTAATTATGGGGGATAGAACTAAACTAAATTCCACATGATCATTAAGAAACATTTATTGCTACAGAAAGTTTTTTCCTAGAAATTGTTATTTTCAGGCTTAATACAGTGATTATGTTTTTACTTGGAATCTTCTCCTCCATTTTTTCTTGTTCTATGCAGATTATCAACGCCTGATGACTGTGGCAGAAGGTATCACCACACTTTTGTTCCCATTTCAATGGCAGCATGTTTATGTACCCATCCTCCCTGCTTCTCTGCTACATTTTCTTGATGCTCCTGTCCCTTATCTGATGGGCCTTCAGTCAAAAGAAGGAACTGACCGTTCTAAACTAGAACTTCCTCAAGAGGTAAAGCTTATAATGAAAGACGAAGTATTTGCTGTTTGTCAATATAGATCAAGGCTGCTTTGGTTAGATAGCAGTGTGCTTCTCCAAATTGTATCTCTTTGATGACCCTAACTCTCCCAAGTACATCAAGGGTAGAATCTGAGCCATAGCATGCAGTTCCTGACTCCTGGTGACAAGTAATTAATAGACATGGGTCAAAACAGGACAATGGCAAGTTTTCAGACATATACATTTATGCACATGGAACACTAGTAGCAGTATCTCATTGCTTTATTATTACAATGATATTTCATTTCTCTTCCCCACTCATGTTATAAAGCTTGTTTTTAAATGAAGCCTCTTTTAAAATCATTGTATTAACTAAGATGACTTTGATTCTTGACCTCTGTCAAGTGAAAAGTAACATCTTTCAGCAAGCCAGGGATGATGGAAAGATCAAATACTTTAGTATTCCCTATTTTCAGACCTAAGGCCAGCTTTCAACCTGTTTTAAATGTCAATTTGACTGGGTGGTTGAGATAAAATTCTAACCCTTGGCACCATGCCACCTTAATGTCACTATGCTTTCTGCATGTTGTATTTTCAAATGTTGTTTAAGAAGAAAGTAAACAGATTTTTAAAGCATTTTGAATCTAATTTTTGTTGTTAATGGTACCCAGAAATGTAATGTTAAGTCTTTGAAATGAAATATTAATGAGGGTACTGTGGACTACTAAAACATAAAATGGTTAATTACATTATACTATTAGCTATTTTAATTAGCTCCTTTCTTAATGAAATTTCTCCTGCTGAGCTTCACTTTTTTTTGGTACTTCCCATAGAGATTCTCATTTTAACAAGTGAGTATTATAGACAGGAATGATTTCTGTAATCATCTATTGCTTACTTTTATTCGAATGAATGTGTTCTTACCAAAATTAACATTTATATACAGGGGAAAATGGCTTGATATAGTTTATATAAAAGAAATGTACACACTGACTCACCCTTTTTGGATTTTTATGTGCTCTGCTATGTCCTCCCTCTTTCACTTCTTTTTTTCTATTCCTTGAGGTTTCTTGTTTTCATCTTTCATTTGTCTGAGTATTGTGTTAGTTCAAAGAAGTAAATCCTTTAAATATTTAAACATTAACATATTTAATTTTCTTGTTGAGTGTGTAGTTTATTTTGCATTAGACAGTTTATTTGGGTTCATAAATATTACCTTTCCATTTTTGTATGCATAATAATTGCTGAGAATTTTTAAAGTATCTCCTTGATACATAAGAAGGGCTTCAAAAAATTCAAAGAAAGATTACATTATCTTCAATTCCATTTTTCCATGAACTTTTTGAAGCCCCTTCATATTTGTAATAGAGCTTTCTGTCTCTATGAATCTGTATGTACCTTCTCACTCAAATATACATAAAATGTGAGCAAAATTTCAAATGCTCTTGCAGTAATGCCTGTGAGTTTTCTAATTTTTCATTCATAACATCAATAGTTACTTAATAAATATACCCATCTACTCATAGAGAAGATAAGAGACACCTGAATTGTCTGTAAAATTTGGCAGTGCCTCTCTATAGAAACTATGAATTAGTGCATTGTTTTAGAAGAAAAGTCTAACAGTATGCCCCTTAGTTCTCATATCACTTATAGTGAGTTGAAATAATTGGCTTCATGTAATTTTTAGAAGGAAGTGGGTATAAAAATAGCAATTTTAAAAAGCAGCTTAAATACACTCACTAGTAATACTTTCCTCCCTGTTTCCTGAAAACTGTAAAATAAAATAATGGATAAAAATAGGGACAGAGAGTCTTAGTTATAAAAATGACAAGTTTATGAATTGGTTATTTTAGGAAGGTATGATTTTAGTTATGCATGTGACTGTAGACTTGCAATTAGCCACCCACTCACTTTCCCCATGATCCCAAAATGATAGGCATAGGAGGTCATTGGTTGTATTGTTTCTGAAGTTGTAGGGTACAGAGAGAGAGGGTGGAAGAACACAGCACTGAGGATTAATTGCACAAAGTGGTACCTCACTTTTTACCATTTTTGCTCATCTTTACATAAGTTGTGCACAAAGAATCAAAAGAAAAAGTGAGATAAGCCTGCTTTTACTGCTTTCTTCCGATAATATTTTTTCCATGAGATTCTGCAGGAGTATTCTGAATTTTCTCCTCTTTCTTCCTCTCATACCAGCTTAACTGTAGTCACTGAGAAGCTAGGTCTCTTATTAAAATAAAGAGAACTGCCCCAGTCTCACATTTCTGGCTACTTCTTTCTCTCCCCTACATTTTTGGGACTCTCCAAAATGACCATCTCTTTAAGCCTTATTCATTCACCAAAGAGGTGACCCAAGTACTTGTGTCTTAAGTTCAGTGGGAAATATCAAGGTAAGAGGTGATGTGATCTCTGCCTTTCAAAAAGAATAGTTTACAAGTATTAACAGCACAGCTTTTTGAAAAAGTCATGAGTGAACTCAGAACGTAAAGAGGAGATCAGAGTACCTGTAGATTAGGGACATAGGAAGGATTCAGGGAAGAAAAGATAGTTAAGCTTCAAGTCCCTGTTCTCGTACTTTTGTAGGAACTTTTGTTGGTTTAAGAAACCCAAGTGGTACAATGACTGAAGTGTTTGACTGTTGAATGGTTGGAACCTACCAGTGCCTTCTGTCTGCAGTTTCTCAGGAGAAAGACCCAGTGATCTGCTGTTGTAGTTGTTAAGTGCTGTCAAGTCAGTTCCAACTCATGGCAACTCTGTATAGGATTTCTGAGGAGCAGCTGGTGGGTTTGAACCACTGACCTTGTGGTTTATAGTTCAGTGCTTATCCTACAGTGCTACACGAGGAGTCCAGCCTAGAAAACCATATGGTATTGATGGTGTGTCACTGTGGGATAAACACTGGACTACTACTGCATACAAGATCAGCTGCTCCTTGGAAGCCCTATACAAGGTAACTATGAGTGGGAACCAACTTAACGGCAGTTAACAGCAACAACAGTGACATATGATGAGGGCTTGTGGACAGTGTTGATCAATACAGATATAGGAATAGTTTTTCTTAAGACTTCTTAAGCTCTTCTCATGTTTGTTTACTTGTTTAATTTAATGGTTCTACTAAAAAGTGAGAAAGCAATTTATCAGAATGCCTTACTATTTAGTATTCTTGTTTGTTTTAGAGAAAGGTAATTTTTATTTTCTTCAATAAAATTTTATAACACAAGTTGACACTTTCTCTTTCTATCTTGTGGTCATCAGAGCACCACCTTGAGCCCTTTTAAGCATACCCTGAAAGGTATGTTGGAGAATGAAGACAGGCCATTAGCTGCTCTGCTGGAACATTCAATTTGGTGTTTATGTGATCACAGTAGGCTTTAAATTTTCAGAAGCATATCATTTTCTCTTTCCATGGGGAGACAGAGGGGACTAGGAAATGCACTCATGAAAGTGATTGTACAAAATGTAAATGGGTTGTTAGTTAGCATTTAGATTAGCAAGTTAGTGAAATTTTTTCTTCCATTTTAAAAGATATTGAATCATGCATCTTCCATTTGAATTGTGGTGACCTACTTTCTCCCTTTAAACCTTTTAATATGTACAGTTTTTCTGAGACTGTAGGCACATTTTAAAGAAAGCGGTAGGCAGCACTGTCTTCAGCAAGATAGAACTGTTTCTGCTGTTTATTTGGAGAAAATTGCTAACATTGGTGATGAAGAAAAATATGGGAAGAAATTCCTCCAGCATCCAGGCTGGTTGAGGATGTGTCTCTGGGCCAGGCTTCAGGGAGTCACCTGAGTTCTCAGGCCTTTATTTCTTAATCTGTAAAAATTAATGGGCTGCTGGCAAAGGTCTCTTCAGACTCTAACAATCATTGATTATCTGTTTTGAAATAGGAAATAAGTAAGAATTTTTTGTACAGTTTAATTTGGGCTTCTCTATGCTTCTTGCTTATCAGCATTTAAAATGTAGAGTAGTTATCAAGAGAGGAAACAAAACCCAACCATTTGCTTTCCCCTTTTCCCCTTATCTTGCCATTTAGGATCAGAAGGATAATAAGAATTCTGTCATTTCTGACCTGGGGTGGGGAGGTGGGTAGAAGATAAGAAAACAGGTAAAATTTCTAATTCTCCTTATTGACTTGCACCCTATACCCCTTGTTCAATCCTTGATGTAATTACAATCAGTTTTATGTGATGGACTGAATCTTTGATCTTCCCAAATCTAAGAGACTTTCTTCCCTTTGACCGACAACCTTGCTCAAGTGAAGAGGGAATGGATAGTAAAAGTAAAATACAGTCTTGGCATCTAATTCAATAAAGTGCCTGAGAGATGGTAATAATTTTATGCAAATACTTGACCCTTCAAATTTTCCTTCTTATACAGCTTGACAAACACTGTTTTGTTAAGTGCTCTCTTGTTTGTTCCAACTCATTGCAACCCTGTATAGGATTTCCAAGGTTATAAAGCTTACAGAGTCAGAAAATCTGGTGTTCACCCACTAAGTGGCAGGTGGGCTCAGACCTCTGACCTTGTAGTTCACAGTATCGTGCTTATCCTATGGAACCACCACACTTCCTTAAAAACACTAACAGTGGTTTTTGTTGTTGTTGTTTTCCTGTGATGCCTGTTCAAAATTTAGAATGTAAGTAAGCAAATGAACATTCAAAAAAGAAAAACAATTTCCCATCACATCTTTTTCTCAACTCAAAAATATCTTTTAAGTCAATTCTTTAATTATTCAAGTGTTAGTCACTTGTAGTTATGTAAGCACTTGCCTCTACCACCTTTTTTGACTCCTGCTGTTTGTCTAATGGCTTCTGAAATGGTTTTGCTGTCCAGGAAATTAAAGCTAATTTTAGACAAGATGAAAATTTATGTATTTTCTGTGAATTGGATTGATCTTGCCAATTCCATCTCATTTTGGAATACTACATCTGCTAAATTTTAACAATTATTGTCAATTCTAAGTTACAGATGGTGTTAGGGCCACAGGATAGAAACTTCAGGCTCATTCAGTAAGCATTTTGCACAGTGCCTTCTATATGTAACATACTCTCAATATGCACCTTTACCTAATGGATATGCTCTACTGCTAACCCAGCAGCTACTTCACAAGAGAAAGATGTAGCAGTCTGCTTCAGTAAAGATTGCAACCTAGAAAGCCTAAAAAGCTGTTCTTATGTTTTATAGGGTCTCTATGAGTTGGAATCAACTCAGCAGCAATCAGTTTGGGGTTTTTGTTTTTGTTGTTTGCCATCGAGTCAGTTGCTACTCGTAGTGACCCTGTATAGAGTTTCTGAGGAGAGCTGATTGGGTTTGAACTGCTGATCTTGTGATTAGCAACCCAGTGCTTATATTACAACACCACAGTAGAACTCTTGTTCAACAGATGTCAAATGTTAGAGAATCATGTCCAGATTATATTAAATTGCTGAGTTGAAGAGAAGTAAAACTTGTCATAGCAGAAACCTGTGTAAGACAGAAACCTGTCAGAAAAGGAAATTTCAAAATATTTTTCACTAAAACAAGCAATGAAAAAAATATTGGACAGCACCCTGTCACAGGTGGAAAACTTGTGAGACTTGTTTAAACAAAGCAGTCCCATTGAGTTCTGACTCTCACAGATTTCACTGCATGATAAATGTGGTATAAAAATGCTTACATATGGGACTATGCAGGCAAAAGAGATTTATTTTAAAAAATATATAATGGTCTGAACCTTGAGATAGTTAACACAAAAGGCAATGTAATCTATGTTATTGTTTATAATAGTTGGCAAGAAGATTTCATACCTAGAATTTCTTTGTTTTTAAAGCTTTTAATGTTTTTTTTTTTCTTTTCTTTTCTTTTTCAGGCTAATTTGTGTTTTGTGGACATTGACAACCATTTTATTGAATTGCCTGAAGAATTTCCGCAGTTCCCCAATAAGATGGATTTCATCCAGGAACTCTCTGAAGTACTTCTTCAATTTGGGATTCCTCCTGAAGGTAGCATACACTGCAGCGAAAGTGCCACCAAATTGAAGAATCTGGTTCTGAAAGACTTGGTCAATGACAAAAAGAATGGCAATGTTTCCACTAATAACATCAGCATGTATGAGTTACTTAAGGGAAATGAAACCATCGCCCGCCTCCAGGCTCTAGCTAAGAGAACTGGTGTGACTGTGGAAAAAATGGACCTCTCTGCCACTCTGGATGAAAAAGAAAAAGATGTAAAACTTCACTGTGAGGAGGCAGAACTGAGGGACTACAAGCTCAATGTCCAGCTCCGAGAGGTCTTTGCTAACCGGTTTACGCAGATGTTTTCAGATTATGAAGCTTTTGTGATTCAGACTGCCCAGGACCTGGAATCCTGGCTAACCAATCGGGAACAGATGCAGAACTTTGACAAAGTAAAAACTATTTCTTACTTGGATCCTAATAGGCTGTATTATTGATTTTGTTCACTTTTTCAAAGCACAGATTTCTCCTCTCTTCCTTCCCATTAAGAACTGTTCTTTGTCAGTCTTTTATATTAGATAAAATAAATTTCACAAGAAAATAAATCAACTGGCTCATTAAGCTGAGTGCTGTAGTAAACCTTGGAAAGGAATTAAAAGCTAGTGCCATTTGGTATTAAGTTGGATTGTGTATTAACTTGCTTATAATCTCATTTTAAAAATTTGCTATATTTCAATGATGCTTGAGTTTTAGAAACTCATAAATCATATAGGTTTTTCAAATCTGTTAGCACTATCTGATTTTGCCAGGATTTTATTTTTTCTTATATTATGATCAAGCTAAATTAGCTGAGGCCTATTGCTTTTCCAATGAATCCTTATTCTTGCATTTTATCTTTATCTTATAATGAAATTACAACTTGTCAATGTAAAGGTATCTGTTGAGTTTCAGAAGCTGAATTTTGAATTTGTTCCAGGATCAAAAGAGATTTAGTAAGAGTTAGGTTTTCTAAATCTAAGGTTCTGTGCTCAAGTTTTAGGTAAGGGAAGACAAAAAATGGCACTAGCTTTCGATCGTTGTGCTAAAGCTGAAGCTTCCTTCCCAAGGCTTACTGTAGAAAATTTTTCTTTTAGAAGCTGACAGACCTTTTGTATGAGGCTTTTTTGACGTATTCCCAGATCTGTTTTTCAGACAAAAGCACTTATGGATGTGCATTAATTTTTTTCAGGTCACCAGGGCACAATTCATCCCCTGCCTCTCTGATTGCTAAGGCATGATACTGCTGTTAGGGTGAATATGAATTTTCACTAAGTGGTGTCTTTGTGTCATGAAAGACCTCCTGAGGGGGTGAAACCACTCTAAGAGTCTAGTGTACAATCTTGTAACATCTGACAAATAAGGATTAACTAAAAATTGTGTAAAGGTGGACAGTGTGAAACATTTTCTATTCCATTAGATATTTTCTCTACAGAGGATATATATGATCTTGAGCAATTAAGTTCTTGTGAACTTTATGTTTGAGGAAACTTCTTTAACAAATTAAAAAGCCTTTATTTCTCCAAATGTAGCCCAGCTCTTAGGTTCCTTTCTTGTTAAATTTAACCCTTTGCCTATAATTTTTCTGTTCAGTTTGGGACTAATCTTTTTACACTCCTGATTTATCCATTGGGCAATTCAAATTCTTATCTAAATTAAGAGCTGGTACTTTTCTTTCTTCTTAATCTATATGTAGCTTCAGACTATAAATGAAATTCTTTAATATAATCCCCTTGAGAAATAAGTTTTATGATGGATTCCTGAAGACTTGTAATCATCTCTCTCTCTCTTTTTTTTTTTTTCTTTTTCCTTAGGAAAAATTGCAGGACTATCATATTCTACTCTTAGAAGCCAAATCTCTGTTGACCTTAGATGGTATTTTGCATAGGGGTCTGGATACAGAAAGTCAGGCATTCCACTCATTTAAGAGGGCGGGGGCACTATTTTCTTAATGAAAAGGAATATTCATGTTTATCTATAAAATGCATTTTGAAGTGATGAGCTAATTTATTGAGACTGCTGTAAACCTTTGGATTTATATAAATACATAAACTTATGGCAGCACTTAGAGTGAGTAAGTGGGTTTCTGTAAGGAAGTTAAAAAGACCTCCTAATTTTCAAACTGTAAAATAAATATGCTAGGAAGAAGCTGATGGGTCTTACAGAGAATAACCTTATATCAGAATTTACCATTCCAACTTTCCCTTTATAGCCACTGACACACTGGATCTACTTAAAAGAATGAAAAGGAAAACCAATCCAGCTATTGAAATCATAATCCACTTCCAAATTTCAGCTAGGACCAAACTAAGATTAGAATTTCTGTACAAACATGGGCATGGATAACAGTGGGGAAAAATGAGCATGTTTTATTGCAATTTACAAAACTATTGCATGCAGTAGACAAGCTGATGATGGGAAGTACATTTTCTAATGGCTTCTCAAACAGTGCTGTTTTAGTTGTTAATACCCATTCTGCAGTGTTAGTATAGATCTGGAAAGAGTTTGGTCTTGAATTAACATTTATCAGCGTTTATCAGTTCTAACAGTTGGAGCTTAGAAAAAGATGCAGTTGAAAAAAAAAAAAAAGGTTTCATATATGAACACAAATTCCATTCCATGATTGTTTGTTCAAGGCTATTGCTAGTATATGTATGGTTGTATCAGTTAATCACCTTACTTTCTATAAGTTGGAGGTACATTGTATAATCTAGATATAAAGAGCAGAAGAAATTATGGCTCCCTGGGGAAAGAGATTAGAATTTAACAGTAAGGATGACTGATGACCATATAGCACCTTATCTGCCATCTTTCATTAATGGTGCTCTCTTTTCTATCTAATAGTCGCAAGAATTAGAATGCAAATCAGTTTCAAAAGATAGAATCAGTACTAAGGACTTAAATGCTATGAATTTAGAAGAAAGAAAAAAAAAAGTGGTGTTTTCAGTGTCCAGGGTTAATTTTTTGTTACAAGATTAAAAGATGAAAGGAAACAATAATCTTAGTAACATATCATTTTTGGATCATCATATAATGTTGAGATGGTCTGTGTACTAATAATTTCCTAATTATCTCCTTACAGGCTTCCTTTCTGTCTGACCAGCCTGAGCCTTACCTACCATTTCTTTCACGCTTCATTGAAACACAGATGTTTGCCACCTTTATTGATAATAAAATTATGTCTCAGTGGGAAGAGAAAGATCCCTTGCTTCGAGTCTTTGACTCTCGTATTGAGAAGATAAGACTGTATAATGTAAGGGCGCCCACCATGCGGACGTCTGTCTATCAGAAATGCAGCACTTTAAAAGAAGCAGGTACACTTGCATGCCTTTTAAAATTGAAATCCATCGTCATGTCTTTGTACACACTGTTGTCTTTTTATATACCACAAAATCTAGTTTTAGTTTTAGACTTCATGACTAATCCCAGCCCTATATCAAGGGTGCTTTTTAAAGTTGTATTTCCTTCTGTGTCTAGTTAATATCCATCTCATTCCTACTTGACTTTCCTCTTTCTTAATTTAAAGAGCCAGTTGGCCACAGAGGTGTCTCTGACTCCTGACAGTGCCTTGTGTGTCAGAGTAGAACTGTGCTCCATAGAGTGTTAATGCCCAGGCCTTTCTTCCAGGGTTCTTCTGGGTAGACAAGAAACCAACCTTTCAATTAGCATCTGAGGACATTAACTAATTGTTAAGTGCCGTCTTGTCAGTTCTGACTCATAGTGACCCTGTGTAGGGCTTCTGAGGAGTGACTGGTAAGTTTGGACTGCTGACCTTGCAATTTAAACAACCTTGCAGTCGAGTGCCTATCATACAGCACCGCACCAGGACTCCCATTAATTACTTGCACAACCCAACATGTGATCTCCCTTCATTAGTCAAAAGATAAAAAACAATAAGGTGAATAGAGTACTAATAGACCGTTGTCTGATTCTCTTTGTTATGTTAATGGAAAAATACTAATTTCTATCTTGCTATATGTTGCCTTTTTATAAATCACTACTTTTCTTTATTCAAGAAAAGTTACTAATTTTAAATAATAAGCCTAAGGTGCTGCCTAATTTACATGAGTATAAAATAGCAGGCACAAACAATATATTTGCTTAGTGGTGCCATTAATTATAGTAGTTTTTTTCTGTTTGTTTTTTAAATGAAATTCCTGGATTCTCCTGTTCAAATTAAAGATTCCCCCAATTCTAACATCAGTTTTTCCCTGTATCAGACAATTATTATGAGTCTTGACAAATCTTATGTGACACTATGTTGTTAAATGCTATCAAGTTTGTTCTGACTCATAGCAACCCTGTATGGAGTTCCGAGCAGTGGTTGATGGCTTTGAACCACTGACCTTGTGATTAGCAGTCCGGTGCCACACCAGGACAGTATGATAAAGGCCCCTAAATAAATAATTATTTTACTATTCAGAATTTACTTAATACTTACTATGTACTAGACACTATGTCACATGTTAACATAAATTGCTTTATTATAATGTTTGATCTTAATAACATTGGGGGATAAGCACTCTTAGATTTCATTTTGTTTATTATTATTGTCCCAATTTTATAGGTGAGTAACTCACCAGCCACTCCTTGGAAACTTTATCTATAAAGGGTTGCAATGAGTCGGAACCAACACAATGGCACTTCACAACAACAGTGGTTGAATAGTGATAAGTGGAGTCAGAATTTGAAATCAGATCTGATATACCAGTTCCTGAGCCATAACACTATTTTAACTGCTCTTTCAATAAAGAAGTGTATACCATTCCACACAATCGTATGCATTTATTCCTGGTTTGTGACCTTTTCATTGCTGAATACACTGGTATCTTATCACCTGAGTGTTTTGTTTGCTTTCCCTTCAAGTGTAGACCATATCTGCAAGCATTTGTTCCTCTGGAGACAAGAAAGGCAAGACATGAACCCTGTATTGCTTTTGTGTGCTTACCTTTCCCATTGGCTTAAATAAGATCAAGGCCACAGCAGTGATGATGCTATTGTTGTATAGTTAGGTGCCCTCAAGTCGGTACTGACTCATAGCAACCCTATGCACAACAGAAGAAAACATTGCCCAGTCCTGGGCCAACCTCACTATTGTTGCTATGCTTGAGCCCATTGATGCTGCCAGTTTGCCAATCCATCTAGCTGGGGGTCTTCCTCTTTTTCTTTGACCTTACCAAACATGATATCCTTCTCTAGCAACTGGTCCTTCCTAACAATATGTCCAAAGTATGAGAGACGAAGTTTGGACATCCTGACCTCCAAGAAGCACTCTGCTGCACTTCTTCCAACACAGATCTGTTTGTTCTTTTGGCAGCCCATGGCACTTTCAGTATTCTCCTCCAGTACAATAACTTAAAAGCATCAATTCTTCTATGGTCTTCCTTATTCAGTGTCCAGCTTTTGCATGCATATGAGGCTATTGAAAATACCATAGCTTGGGTCAGGCGTACCTTAGTCTTCAAGCTCACATCTTTGCTTTTCAACACTTTAAAAAGACCTTGTGCAGCAGATTTGCCTAATGCAATACATCATTTGATTT